CCCCCCCCCTTTCTTTTATTAGGATATTTTATGTTTCTCACGACTCCCAGGACCTGAAAATCTTCAGCTACATCGCGCGGGATGGACACAGCAATGTTTTCCGCTGCAACGTCTTCAAGTCCAAGAAGAAGGTGGGTCTCGGTGGTACACAAACGGTCGCAGAAAGTGACTTTCAGAGCTTTCCCATCGGAAGGTTTAATGCTTTTGCTGCCTTAAGCTGTATTACATGTTTGGTTGTGAGATGTATAATCTCATTGGCTGTTTTTGGTCATGTGCCCATGGCCCAATCAGTGCCTTCACCTCGGTTCTGCCCAGCCCAGTGTCTTTCTGGATACATTTATGTATACATGTGTTATTTTAGTAAAATATCTTGTGTAAGACACCTGGCCCTGGTCAAAGCCAACACAAAGGCTATTTTATTTTTTTTTATCTCAGTTGATATTTCTGATTAACCTCAGATTTAATGCACTTAACTGCTGATGACACCACCAGAAAAGCTCTGTGTTAAATTCGCACCCATTGCAATCATCACCAGTGTGAGGAGGTTTCGTGTAATAAAGATGTAGCTTCTTTAAAATGTTTACACACATTTTTAACTGGAAATGTGTTGATCAGGTGAATTACTCTCACTTCAGCTTTCATCCACCTGTGACACCTTGCATCAGCAGCAAGTCTGTTTTCTGTTTAATTTGAATGAGTTTCACACGTCCTCGTTACTGACAATCCTAGACAATTCAGCCGGTAGCTCCCGTTATTTACCGTGGGACCCCGGAAGGACAGGGTTAGCTAACTGTCAGTTACCTGTGAGGAGACTCATTCCCTTTTCTCATTTGAGGATTTAGCTGAACTGAAATCACCTGTCATGGGCAGTCATCTGTATCCAGGAGGATCCTAATTATCCAGCAATTCTGTCAAACTTAGGCTTAGCTGGCCTCAACATTGGTAGGAAAACCAGAATTCACATTATTTATTCATTAAGGTAAGAATTGAAGATCATTATCTCAGCACCTACATACTTTTGACAAATTGTACTGCTTTGGTAAAAAAAAAAATCCAGTATATAAATGAGGTTATATCAATATAATATGTTTATTTTTAGCTTTTTATTTATTTTCTTGGCTGTTCAATTGGAACCTGAGCCTCCCTGTAATACATCCTTTTGTATTTGTCGTCTCCCGTGGGGGGGCTTTGAACGGCGAGTATAGCCTGCAGGCTGCATCGCAGGCGCACACACACCAGTGCAGCGCCAGTGGCATGCGTCGAAATGCTGCTGAAGTGCTGAACCTGCTGCGGGTTCTGCAATACGGCCATACAGAGGCACAACGCAGGAACTGCGCTGACACTGAGGAAAAGGCCTTCAGTGTTTTTCCACTGTCTGCCCATATGTGTCGTTGGTTGGTAAATGGTTTCTTCAAAACTGACCATCGTCGGACTAAGACGTTATGTCACAATATGAAACGGAGCCTAAGAGACCCCGATTTTGGACAAAGCCGAAACGATTACGATGTAAAACATTGCAAAACAGTTACGATGTAGCACATTGACAGCCACAGTGGGTGGGGTCAGATTATAGTCGACCGGTGGCTGGTTTGCAAGTGATGAACTGCACACATGTAGCCGTTCGCTGCATGAATAAAGTTTGCGTCTTGGCAAAGAGCTGAGGACCGGGTGTGAGACGGAGACCTTTATAGCCTCACGCCAGTCGTCCGGTGCTCCTTGCCTGCGTGGCCCCGTGTAATTTCAGTGTCTCTCTGGCACACGTGGCCCCAGACGAGGTAGCCCCTCTGGAAATGGCCGGGAGCACAATTCAGACCTGATCCTACAGCACATCAGTCTTCATTAGCGCTTTGAGCTCGGAGCTGACAGAAGCCTTTAGGGCCAGTCTGGGTTAATGGTGTGGAAGGAGCCAAACCCAGACCGGCTTCCCTGCTTAATGGTCATTCGCGCAAATGGAGGTATAAGGCAAATTATATATAATCGGTAAACCAGCCGGGATGTTAATGTATCTTCATTGGCTCTCGATCTCTCACTGAATGCAGGGAAAGCAGTGGTGCAGTTTGGTACAGAAATCAACACCTGATCGGTAAACGGTCCACTGTTCAGAAGAGCATCGGGGAGCTGTGTTGATGTAGCCTGTGCTGTGGTACCTGGCTAAGTCACCTGTGCTGCAGTAACAAGCTGAGGTAGCCTAGTAACGACCTGAAGTGCCCCATGCTATGATACCCTGTCTTGCGGCCTGTGCTGTAGTAGCCTGTGCAATATAGCCTGTGCTGTAGAAGCCTGTGTTATATAGCCTGTACTGTAGTGGCGTTTGTCAGGGCACTCTGTGGCATAATAGCCTTTGGTGATTTAGCTTGTGCTATAGTAGCCTGTGCTGTAGTATGCTGTGCCAGGGCACCCTATGATATTGTAGCCTGTGCTGATGTAAGCTGTGCAAGGGCACCCTTTGATATAGTAACCTGTGCTGATGTAGCCTGTGCTGTGGTCTCTGTGCTATAGTAGCCTTTACCAGGGCACCTCGTGCTGTAGTAGCCTATTGCACCAAAGTTAAATGCATGTGGGAGCAGGTGCAGAAATTAATGAAGCCAATGTAAGAAATCATGGATGTGGTTAAAGTGGCGGTGAAAACAGACAGGCCTGTGTCACAGGGGGTGTGTCTTTAGAGCCATCTGCCCAGGGGTGGACGCGCATCTAATAGGCACCTGTCCTCTAACAGCCCCCCTGTCTCTGTCCCCCCCACCCCCTCACTCGGCAGAGCCAGGCCATGAGGATTGTGCGGACGGTGGGTCAGGCCTTCGAGGTGTGCCACAAGCTGAGCCTGCAGCACACGCAGCAGGGCAGCGACGGCCAGGAGGGCGGCGACGGCGAGAAGGGCAGCCCGGCAGCACCGGGTGAGCGCAGCCTTCCGGCTGGGGGCTTCCTGATGGCCCCATCTGCTCCGTTCCCACCATAAGCTTCTCACATAGCCGAGTTGTCACTCATGCAAAGAGTTTATCTACAAAGACACAGCACAGCAATGCATTTCCGCATGGTAATACGCAATAAAATACGCAGCTCTGTCATCGGGCTTCTTTTGCAGCATCATCGTGTTGATGAATATACAGACCCACAGGTCTAACCCCCCCCCCCCCCCAGTTTTCAGATTCATCTTCCACTCCCACGTCTTCTTTAACACACAAGTGCAGATTCACTCGTCAACTTTCTTTTCTTTTTTTTGTTCTCCTGTCCGGCAGCTTTAGCAGAATCATGGTCTGAATTCACTGCTGTGCCAAACGTGTTTGCTTCACCATGAGCGGCTCTATAAACTCTGTATGGACCCCTCAGGTTGATCAATTTCTTTTAATTTAATTAATTTTATTTGTAGCTCATGTAAAATGTTGTAGTGGCTGAGCTGACCGAAGAGGAGGGACAGAGGGAGGAAAAAAAGAGACAAAAAAAAAAAGAAAAGGAGGAGAAAGTGAGAGATGAGCTAAGAAAGATAGGAGTAAAGTAGGTAGCATATAACAGACCACCAACAGCTGCATCTGTAAAGGAGAGGAAAAAACTTCCTAAACAAACGAAAAGACTTCTTCGTAAGGCCCATTCTGCTTTTGGCCTACTGAACTGCCAATTCTGTGTCGTAATCCATCTTGCCGATTACTGTGGGTACATCAGTTAATCGATGTATTGTAATTAAGCTCCTGTCTCTTAATTTTAATTAAGCTTCCCCCTTTGTTTCAGGTTATTTTCTTTGTCTGAGGGCTCCTTCTATGTAATTATTATTTTTTCTCAGTCCGTGTCCGTCCACATCCAGCTTTGATTGTGTCGTTCGCTCTGTGAACGCTTTCAGCTCCGCAGCTGCTGGGCACGGACAAGACCGTCGCCGAGGAGACGGACATCGATGCCGAGGAAGTCGTCACGTCCAACGCCGGCACTGCCGGGTTCAACCGGGGAGTCACCGACCTGGACGCAGAGGACGGCAGTAAAAACAAGGTACGGACACCTATCTCTCATAAATGTACGCTGTGAAATCCACCTATTCGTCTTCCTTTTGCGGGAAAAATAGCTTTTCCAGCAGTTTTCACAAGTATGAAATTTGAAGATGTTAGTTTGTGCATCCTTCTGTCGTCGGCCATGGAGCATTTTCCGGCTAAGCCAAACTTAACGGTTCCATCGGGCTACCTTACTGACCCCCGTGACCTTTGAACCCCAGGATGCCGCGGTTCACGATGTAGGAGGTGGGATCGCATTTCCTCCCCCTGGGGCTCTTGCTGTGACCGTTGTTGTTTCAGGTGTCCTACATTTTCGATGTCTTCCTAAGCAGGACAGTGTCCACCTAGGGAATCAGGCTGGACACAACAGGTTAAGGGAGCCACTAGATCAGAACCATTATGATCAGAACCATATCGATCCATGTCTGGCATGGATGTGCTATCAGTAAGACATTGACAGTACTCCCACTACGAAGCCCTCCTTGCCCTACTGGAACTTCCATTCCACAGTAGATTTTTTTCTGTGGTTTTTGGCTCATGGGCTTCTCACGTGTTTTCTCAGCCTGCGGTTTGGCCCCCATCGGTACGTGGGATTCTCTGTGCCCAAAGAGGTGGTGCCCTCCATCACAAGGCTGCCAGTCTGTATTTATCTTTGACAGTGACTGAGTGACCTCATTGGCCTGGGCAGTAACCCCGGACAGCAGGTCTCCAGTGCTGCTCTTAAAGCTTGTTCGCTTCGGGGATCGAAAGTGACGTCTGGATGTCAGTATTCCTGTTTGCTAACAGCTGGTCCTTGAGTAGAGGGAAGAGTCTGCGCATGAGGTCAAACTTAGCTGTTTTTTTGCAATTAATACATGGTGAGCCAGGGCAATTCGGCCAGATAAGAACCTTTACTTCCTGGGGAGTGGATTTTCCAAGGAAAGTTCCCATGTGATGTTTATGCATTTAAATGGCTGTTATTTCTAAAACCAACCTATCAATAACGGTGTGTGAATCCTGCCATTTTTATGTAGGTGTACAGAGAACATTGTTTTTATGAGTAATGTGTACAATGTTAGGTTAGGGTTTATTTCTTACTCTTAAACCAACCAACAGGTTGAAGCCATCTTGGATCAGCTTAAGGGGGCAAAACACTGCATCTTACTTACCTTATGTTTTAATGCACGTATCTGATGCAGAAAACCTTGTGTCAGCCAATAGGGTAACAACAAGCTGCTAGCATAATGCTAGCATAGAACATGTGCAACCCTGGTCTTGCCAATTAATTACAATATCGACTCCCCCCCCCCCAAACTCCACCCATGGCACTCTGGAAGCGTAAATGCTTGTGGTCCATGTTGTGAGCTCATGTTTCGGGTTACAGTGGCTTTGTCTAAATGCCTTTTGTCACTCCACTGGATGTGAACATGACAGCTATTCACGCTGTGTCAAAACAACAAAAAGCGACCTTTTCCCTCTCAATGGGGATGTGCTGTCGTACAAGGACGGCACTTCGGGTCTTCAGGATTACTGGAACTAGCCAAACAATGGGCAACAAACCTGCAACCTCTGCTAGATTTCTGAGCCTCCCTTGAAAAATTAGCAGAATTTACAGACAGTTTTCAGGATGATCTACGCTGTCAGTGATACTCAAAACCTTTATCTTGTCCTGACTTGTTACATTCCTCTGTTGTTCTTGCTGATTCATAAATATTGCAATGAAATTTACTAGCATGAGGGCGTTCACTCATTCGTTCGTAATCGTTTAGACAGGAAACGGTCGACATGGTCGGCTCAGTTGTGCCCGATCGTATATAGTTCCAAATTCACTCTCTCAACTCCACGGGGTGGAATAATTATAATTCACCAAGAAAGTGGAGTCGGCTGCTGCACCTCAAACCAGGTGCGGGAAGCTCATTTTCATACAGATTAATTTCCCAGAAATATATTCACTGGGAATTGAGGTCAGCATACCAATGTGCAATTAAGATGAATTATGACGAAGTAGCTTAGCCAAGGGTTTCATTTTACTGGGACCCGTATTTCATAAATCGCAACCCAAAATTTAGACAAACTTATCAGGGTTTTCAAAAAAAGAATCACAAAACAAAAGTATTCCATTGTTCAACTCAGAGGGTTGAGTATCTAGGCCCATGTCCAGAAGGTTGTGAGTTCAAATCCCATAGACGTCAGAGTAATCATATCAATGTTGGGCCCTTGACTAAGGCCGTTAACCCCAGTGTGTCACGGATGCTCTTTGATGAACACTTTCGATAAAAGCTGCTATTCATGCTAAATACATGACAATCAGCGACTGATTATTCCCTATCAAGAATACGTGTCAGTATTACCCAACATTAGGCTCGAATCTGCAGTTTGCATTGACATTTTTGCTTAATTTGAACATCATGCACAATGGCCAACAGTATGGCATGCATGACTGACATGCATCGATTCACTGTATGACATCTAGAGTGCAGAATGTTAGCTACACAAATTAATTTTGATAGGGAGACTCCATTAGCTGAAGCATCTGTCTGGCATGAGATTTAACTTAGCATTCTGGGTCAGAACACCGGAGAAGCCTCGTTCTGAATCGCAGTTTGTCATGCTCTGCGGGTCTCGGAAAGGGCGTTCTGGTTTATGTAGCTACCATGCGCTCATTGTCGCCAGTCTGACATCTCTGCGTAATGTGGCACCGTGGTTCCCTTCGTTCTCCCCAATACCTGCTGTTCTCCGTTCTCTCACTTTCCCGGAAGCCTCGGTGCCATTTCACATCCACTGTTTACCGGATACAGCAGTGTTGAACAAACCCCTGCATATGTGTTTTGTATTATAAACTGGTGATTAGTAAATTTGTTTCCGACCGTGAGCTCTGGTCCACACCGAACTTCCATTCTGCATCTTGTTAAGACACATTTTAGCCCTTATATGTGATTACTCTAGTTTTCGGTATTCATAATTAGTCCCGTATGTTATATTTGCTGGGTAAACCTGCTGCTGTCTATTGGCCATGGTGTGCCGTCAAGAAATACCCCCTTGATCTATGAAACCTCCCCCCCCAGTACAGCCGAAATGAATAATTGCTCTGTGTTGTCAATCCTTCAATTACAGCTTTATGAAGGAGACCATCTGTACTGTAAGGGTCTGGGCTCAGTGATACTATAATTTGTGTAGGTGCCAGCTGTGTTTGTAATCCGGCGGAGCTTTCTCTCTCTTTTGACTGATTTTGTTTGAAAACTGCTGCATTTTGCATTCAGATAGTGAGTAGAAGTCATCAGTGTCCAGTACAGATTTCATGTGTGGTGTCAATTCTGGCATTTCCCGTGTGTTAGCCCTGTGATTCAGAGGATATCACTACAACAGACTAACAGCGTCATCTAATTGGTTGTTAGTCAGAGTCTGTTCTGTATTTATTTTTTTAAAAAAGACTCAATTAAAGATCTTTGTGTGGAAAATTCTGGACCAAACTGTCTTTGAGCTAACGCTGTGGGTAACCGAAAGTGGGGGGTCCACACCGTTAACACCCCTGGCCTGGTACAGGAAACCAAACAGACCGTCATCCGTGTGATGACACGCCTTGTGACGCTGGAAGTTGACGCACTTCTCAGAACGGCACAGGCCGTGAAGGAGATCTGTTTACACTGAGAGATGTATGAACTTTTTTCCCTTCTTTTTGTTTAATTTGAAGCTGAGTTAAAGGGTTTGTTAGTGTGTCTGTATCTCACATTGCTGTAAGTCAAGCAAGTTTTACACTTGGTTCTTTATCATTTTTTTAAACATTTAGTGTTTTGTGTCACAAAAAGCTTAAGTGTAAATGCTGCTGACTATAGAAGAGTGTATGAATTTGGGTTGGGTTGGGTTGTGGGTTGGGTTGGGGTTGGGTTGGGTTGTGGGTGCGGATCTGTCCATGTTTCCCAGAAAGATCCATTTCCGATTGCAAAGTCCAGATGAAAATGTTTTGCCGTAAAGTAAAAGTAGCAGGAAATCTGAATTATCATTTCTCTCCTTGAGCGATTGTTGTGCTGAAGATGACCCTGTAAATGGGACATATAAATTTGACCTGTTCTACTTTTATGTGAAATGGTGAACCAACCTCCGGCTGGTGTTTGGGGTGGATGTGCTCAGTCCTGGGCTGGCATTGTGGTCGGACCTTGAAGTGTCAATGTCAAGACGTTTCAGGTGTTGGGGAGGTAGAACAGGTGCTGTTTGCCACATACGGCTCTGAGGAACGACAGAGACAAGATGGATGGATGGATGGATGAACGGGGCGGGAATAAAACATCTGCTCTCCATCAGAGGCCGAACTCATCCGCTGGCCCCCGTGCTTCTTGAGAACTTATTCATTCCATTCCAAAGGTGTCCTGGAATACTGACGCTCTCTTCTATGCAGTGAGAAATCTGTCCCCATCGCACGTGCTGGACCAAAGCGCAGGCAGATTAAACCAGAGCTCACATGCAGAGTTGAAACAAGGAGCCCAAGTGTTTACTTCAGTCGCCGGGTCACGGGGGGGTTTCCATGCAGGTGAAAGTAAAACACTACTGCATGAAATGCAACTTGACGTAATGCGACGTATTTCCATACGTCTCCTTTTACGCAATCCAGAGATTCTTACAGTGCATTAATTCGGTGTGTGTATGACAGCAGGCGTGTGGCTCAGAGAGTTAGGACGCCTGTTACCAGAAGGTCGCTGGCTCAAATCCCTGGGTCAGCAGAGTGATGTCACCATTGGGCCCCTGAGCAAGTGGCCACTGATCCTGCTTTCTCAAAAATGTATGTCTGTTAAATAAATGTAAAATAAATATGTAAATGCATGTGAAGCTCACAGAACATTGTCTTCAGGTAGGCTGGACAATGTTGTTTTTTTCCCGTTGAGGAGTCACCGATCTCCCCGGCCAAGCTGCAGCATGTCGCGGGTTTCACGCAGCCCGCACGGAATAATGCCGTCGCCATGGCACCTGCAGGCAGTGACTCTCCTTGCGTGGGGGGGCACTTCGGGCACTGCATGGCAGATGCCGTCACCACATTCATCATCGCAGGCCAGCCAGACATTGAGGACTCGGCAGGGTGGGGAGGCACCAATTAATCACTGCGGGGGAGGGGTGACTGGGGTGGGGTGACAAAGCAAGCAGCTGGTCAGGATTACTTGAGGGAGGAAGTCGGAGGTTTTCTCCAGACCTCTCACTCTTCCCATTGGTCCTTTGATCAACCGCAAATAAGATTGTGCTCTGTAACGATGTCACATGCTTTAGTCCCTATTAAGTGTGTGACTGTACTTGATAGGTTCCCATAAATCAGTGGTTCCAAATCCGGTCCTCGGGGACCCACAGCCGCTCCACGTTTTTGCTCCCTCACAGCTCCCAGCAGAGAAAAAATATGTGGACTGGCTGTGGATCCCAGAGGACTGGATTGGGAAACACTGCCAATAGGGAGTTGGGAAGGAGCAAAAACATGGACCGGCTGTGGGTCCCCGAGGACCGGATATTCGGTGTTGCCCTCCCATCTTGGTGTAGAAAGCATAACATGGCTCTTCCGTTTACCCTTTCGTGTGACTGCGGCCCTCCCTGCTTCTGCCGTCCCTCCCCAGGTTCCCGATGACTCCATCCTGACCTCCTCGTCCAAGACGCTGCTCCCCCAGCTCCAGCTCGGCCAGCTACCCCCCGGGAGCCCCCTCTCCATGCACCACAGAGTCCAGCTGCTCTATCAGCAGCTGCTGCAGCAACAGCAGCAGACGCAGGTGGCAGTGGCCCAGGTCAGTCTGCCCCTAAAAACCCCCAGATGTACTGTGTGAGTTTTAATCCAGGTGCATTGACTGGCTTTCCTTGAAACACCCAAGACAGAGTCCGCTTCCCCTGACATTACCCAGTTAAGACTGTCACTATTATCCATTTCACCCACTCAGCCTGGTATTAGATTTGCTGTAAACCTGGTCATTATTCTGTGTGCTTAGCTGGAATGGATTGTTTGTTTACTTGTTTATTATTTTTTAAAGTTGATAGTAGTTCCATACATTGGCTCCTATTTGCTCAGACATACTCAACCAGTGAGCACTGAGCAATCCCTGAATGAAGTGGCATTCTGGAACCTTCCTCTGTGCACAGCTTCCGTCTGGTGGATCTCGCTGTTTCTTGGCTTGATTGGACTTAACATATGCGATACATATGTACTCAGCGGAACGTCCTGCTACAATAAGGCTGCGTTCCGTTTACCTCGAAGGTCGGAACTCGAAACTTTTCAGTACAGCAAGTCGGAAAGCCATTTTGCGATTAGCAATACCAGGGACCCGTTTCAAAAAGCAAGATTACTTGCTTAGCCATAGAACTTAGATTTAATTTACCCCAGTTTAAATGGCCTTTATCTTCATTCGCTTACATTTAGCCCAGACTACCCTAAATCCAACAAGTTGTCCACTTAAGTAAGAAACTTTGCTTCATGAAATGGCCCCAATTCTAGCCCGATTAGCAATATCACGGGATAACAAGACATTTGTATTTTGCACAGCAACACATCCACAGATTGCGTTCGGACAGTACTGTGTGTACGACCAATTTAATGAGCCACAAATAAGACATAAGTGCTAATGAAGAGTATAAAACTACAACTTCTGTTGATAAATCTGAGCTCAGGGTCGTGTCGATTCCTCCGAGCTCACAAATCAATATTCCGACTTGAGATGGCGTTCCAGTTGAAATTTCTGACTAGGAACTCGGAATTCGCGAGTTGAAATGGAGCGCAGCATAAGACCTCTATTACAGATCGTCATGGCTAATCTGCATGTCTCCTGTCCTGCCAATCTAATATGCAGTCAGCTTGTGCAAACGGCTTGCTAATTGCCTTATCTTCCCGATAACACGCTGGCAATGCCTCCCATTTATAATTTGGCTCCCTATTTGTTTTTATTTGTTTCCTGCAAGCAAGTCATGCCTGTTTTTTTCGAGGAAACGCCGCCTTTTGATGGGACCTTGGCAGCCCAGGTCACTGACTTCCTGTTTGCCCTGGAGCCCGGATTGCATTTCTTAACATCACCCTGTGAGAGTAGAAGAAAAGCTCTAAAAGCTGCGACCGTGATATTGAGTGGAATCTGCTATTGATATTAAGTCTATGTTCGCTTGTTGCTAAGGCTCCTTAGCTACAGATACAACGCAAGTGTGGGTGTGAGTGTGAGTGTCGGTGTGGGTGTGGCCGTGGGTGTGGCCGTGGGTGTGGCCGTGGGGGTGGCCGTGAGTGTGGGTGTGGCCATGGGTGTGGCTGTGGCTGTGGCTGTGGGTGTGCCCGTCAAGCACACCCTGACAGCTCGCCCCCCCCCCCCCTCCCCAGAAGCTACACTTCAGCATCTCTCAGCGACAGCTGCCACCCAAAAGGCCCCCGGGCTGCGAGATTCCGGGGGCGATGTTCTGGGACGCCAAATGGCATCATGTAGATAAATCGAGGAACTACAAAGGTTGCCCTCAGAGGGGTGTTTAGAAGCCATAATTTGGACGGGGTGGGTCACATCCATTGTCTGCTTTTGTCTCCATTCTGGTCGGGAGGAGTAAAACTTCACTGCATCAAGGACTATTAATTTAATTAAAGTAGTACCGCAGCAGTATATTAAGAGCAACCAAAGAAAATCTGCTACACTGCTGCTGTAACGCAGCCAAAGATATAATCAGTGTTCAAAAGTTTAAGGAGTTTTCTGTATGTAGTTGGCGGGTCTCCCTTGGATTTAGTGCAACCTTGTTTATGATCCGCCAGTGAGACCCATTTCTGATGTACTTGGAGCGCTAAGACCAGAAAACAGCACTTCGTCGTCATGTGAGTGTGTTGACTCATTAGCGCCCCCCAGAGGTCCACCCGCCTAACACGCCGGTGTGTTTGCGCAGGTCCATCTCCTGAAGGACCAGCTGTCGGCGGAGGCAGCGGCCCGGATCGAGGCCCAGGCTCGGGTTCACCAGCTCTTGCTCCAGAACAAGGACCTGCTGCAGCACATCTCCCTGCTGGTGAAGCAGATCCAAGATCTGGAGCTCAAGCTCTCCGGACATCCCTCCAGTAAGACCCTCCCACCCCGATCACCTCAACAATGTAGCGACTGCTTCCGATACTCTTGAGAAAATGTTTTCTTAGAGCATTTGCATGCAGTGGATTTACCGCTACTCAAACCACGCATTTGCTCTGCTGGCCACAAACAGCCATAACACTAATGGGGCCAGGGGCCCTGAAGTGACTTATTCAGTGGGGCCCCGGCAATAATGACACCCACCCGCTGATTGCATGGTCAATAAACAAGTAGGAATACTGCAACTAACCACAATATGCTGCCCAAGGAACTGCCTGTAGTTACGCTACGGAAAAAAAGATGATGTTGAGTAACATTTTTTTGATGATTTATATCCAAAATCATATTCGGATCTTAATGAAATATTTATATATTATATATTGTATTTGTATGCAGTGCTAGTCAATCCATTAGAAGACGGCGCCGTAGGCAGCTGCCTCATGCACCTGAGAAGGTGCTGACATAGCAAGCTAATTTCTGACATAGCAAGCTAATTTCACTTTGTCTCAGATAGGGGGCGCTAGAGGTGAAGTTTCCCTAGGGTGTCACATGGTATTTCAAATGGCAGTGTTTGCGAGGAGCTCTTTGAGAAGTTGGTTCTGATTTTAAAAAAAAACTAAGCCCCCCCCTTCTTCCCCCCACCCCTCAGTGGGCTCCCAGGACAGCTTGCTAGAGATCACCTTCCGCTCCAACCTGCCCCCCGTGATCTGCGACACCACCCCCCCGCACCCGGAGGAAGCACTGCCCCTGCCGGCACTGGGGAACGGCTCGCACCCACCAGTGTTCCCACTGGGCAGCCCGCTAGGTAGGGACGGCTGCTTGGTGAAGTTCCAGTGCTTCCGCTTCCTGCCAGGACCCCCCGTGCAGGAGGAGGGCGGTAGCCCCCCCTCTGAGCCTGACCTCCAGCTTCTGAGCAGCCTGGAGCTGCTGCGTTTCCGCGAGTCGGGCATCGCGTCGGAGTACGAGTCCAACACGGACGACAGCGACGAGCAGGACGGCGCGGACAGTCTCGACGGCGCCCTCCGGCTGCTCAACGTGCTCAACACACAGGACCCGCCCAGCTGTCTGGGCGATGACATCGCTGTCTAGCTCCGCCCCTCGGTCACAAATCCATCCACAGCCCCCGCTAAAGAGGCCTGAGTTGTCCTGCCTCCCTCTACTAGCTACAGGCTGTGTTGAGGATCGGGGTTCGATCCCAAGACTAGAGGAGTCGAAGAGCAATAATTGTGAAAGGTATGGAGGTGCACAGGATGCCTGCACTGTGCCGTCGCCCCCAAGAGCGCAAGTCACTGGAGGCCAGTAGCTGCCTTTCCCAGATTCATAAACAGCCCTAATTTATTCCACAATATTTCACAACAAACAACTTGTCAATTCCAAGTCTGTTCCCACTGGGGAAGTTGGAAGCTGTGTACCATCTCAAACACGCTGGGGTCTCGATGAATCCCTGCCATTTTCTGTGCCAACCGCATGCCGCATTTCTGTGACACCGCGTACCGTCTCATAGAACTCTGCTCATAGCTGGCAGGACTAAATGGCCGTGATTATCGTCCCTCGTCGTAGCATGTAGCTTCTGTATCGGAGGCCAGCATGCTGAAGATCACTTGCGGGTGGGACCACCTGATTTTTAGTGGTGGGGGGGGGGTCATCTCAACCACACATTCAGCACACCCACGTGTCACCCCTGTGGTCGTGGCTGTGAGGTAATAACAGTGCGGTGTTCTGACGATCCTGTTTATTGTACGTTCTCAGTGCACCTGGTGGCCAAGATCTTCATCCCGCAGTCCTTTCTCTTTACTGTAACCCCCATTGTGGATCGTCTCTGTGACATTACCTGGATCTCATGGTTACTTTCACTGTGTTTTGTCAATGTGAAATACAGTATAGTTCTGCATTTTGTTATCTTGCCTTATTGCTAAGTTATGCTCTTTTTTTCCCCGCCATTTTTCGGTCAGACGTTTTATTGTGGGGTTTTGTGTTCGCAAACCAGGATCTGTTCACTGCACGCTAATCCACATTGCCTCATCGAGGGAAGTTTGACCTGCCCCACCCCTCTGATTCTGGAGGGACTGTCTTTCATCCCTGACTATCAAGAGTCCTGACAGGCGAACTTACTGGGTCGGGTTCTACTAGCGCTGAACATGCAGGGAAATATATATACCTACGACAGTGCATGAGTTCTTTATAGTTACGGACGTCAGATTCAAGACATGAAAACCCCTCAATTAGCTGATTAAAGTATTTTCTTTAACAGTTTGTGATTTGAAAATGCATACAGCATGAGAAAAGTTCTTAAACTTTATTGCTAAACACAAAACCAATCATTTTTTATGTTGTGGCTGACAGGCTTTAAAAAAAGCGAATCTGATTTTATGGGATCTCTGGCAACTATGGAGGGTTTTATTGTGTTAGGGTGGGATCTGTTAAAGGGATGGTGTTTGTTGGGCATTTAAAGGGGCGGGAAATGCGTGTGCAGAGATTTGGATGTTGCCAAGATGGAGGAATCTGATTTATTATTGCCATAAAAGATGCAGTACATTTTCTAAGTAAGAGAAAAACATCTCTTTCTGGGTTTTGAGGTTTTCCCATCTTGCCTGCTCGCAGGTCATAACGTACCTTGGTTCAGTACAGACCCATTTTTACATGTTTACAGTTAGCCATTAAATTATCGTGCTCAGCCTTGAGTGTCTTTGGAACATTGTTAACGTCTTGATGTTTCCTTTCGCTCTACTTAACAGCCAAGCTGGAAAAGACGAGCAAGGATTGTTTTGAAGAATCCCGTTTCAGCTCCAAGTTTGGTCCATGGACGACCCAAACCCCCCCCCTCCGCCAGTTCCTGCCCCTGCATGAGTAGATGCTATGGCATGAACACCAGTCCTTTACACAGACTCACCATCACACCAGATCTTCATTAGCATAAGAGCAGGATTTTTTTAATCATGCATTTACCCTGTTTTATCCGATTAGGAGCCTATTCAGATCTGAAAAGCTTGCTGCATTTCATGAAATAAGTCACTGATATAGGACTTCATACCCCGGTCGGCTTTTAGAAGGGGATACTCACCGATATAGAACGGCTGCAACTGATTGGCCCGTTCAGCACTGGAGCCACGTTCGAGTTGCATAAACTTGTTTCTGATTTATCGACTGTCTGTCAGCAGAGCTGATCCAAGAAGCCTTTTTATATGACTTGTGGTCAGTCCAGGCAGGATGGTGAACAGATGGGTGCAGCCCGGGGAAGGAGAAAGGAATCAGAGGCTTTGGATTCTGGGAACTATGATTAGAAACGTGTCATGTGGATGTCCATGCAAGAAACAAAAATTAACATGCCTGTCAGATCAAGAGTGTGGGGTCAGACCCTCAAGGGTACAAAAGCACAACTTACCCTTAATCCACCAGCCCCGTTTTACCAAGACCAGCTCGATACAGATGGAACTTCTCTCACTGATTTTTATAGAACAGCGTTTCTGAGCCCAGTCCTTGAGCCTTGAGATGCCCCAAACGGTCCACGTTTTTGGTCCCTGCCAGACCGTCCACAACAAACACATGGACTGCCTGGGGGGGGGGGGTCTTGCGTTGTCAGGCCGTCTTGCTTTGTCTCACCATCTTGCGTTGTCAGGCCGTCTTACTTGTCAGGCCGTCTTGCGTTGTCAGGCCGTCTTGCTTTGTCAGGCCGTCTTGCTTTGTCAGGCCGTCTTGCTTTGTCAGGCCGTCTTGCGTTGTCAGGCCGTCTTGCGTTGTCAGGCCGTCTTATGTTGTCATGCCATCTTCCCAGTGCTCTTGAACGTTCTTCTAGTTGTTTTTAGGGATGGATTTTACCCAAATCTGCACTCAACAGTTTAATTTAAAGCTCTCTGCAGTCAGTGTGGCCTTGAGTTTGGTATGTCATGTAAAGACGCTCACCCCCCGGATTTCATGTTTCATATGTTCCAGACCATAAGCATTTTCATGAGGAAAACAGTCAGATTATTTAGTGTCGACTGTAAGTTGTTCTCACTTTTTTTTTGTTCGCTGTGAGTTTTTTTGACACATCTAGGCAAAATGGCACCTGGTGCAACAGCAGTGAATGGTTCAGGATTTTAAAATAGAGACTCGTAAGTGCAAACAAAAGTCAGACAGAGGGAGCTGTCCAAGGCTGAGAAGCCGATCCGGTTTAATGTGTAACCCTTTGGTTTTTCCTGAGTCCAGGGAGCTGCTGAACCATGAGGTTCCCGTGTTTATGAGGCATGAAAGGGATCGGGATAGAGTTCCCGGCATCCTGAGCATGGAGGATTGCTGGATGGTTTTCTGTCTTTAATATATTTTTGTGTTCTGTGAACCTGTTCGCATGCAGTGTGACTCAGGTAATATCCTGTTTCAACAGATAATGATGCAAAATTTCCAAAATACAGGAATGTGAGTGGGCTGATTGTGTCCTGCCCCTGACCTTGAGTTTGTTGAATTGAAAATCCATTTAGGTTCCATAAGCAGTTTTTTGGTTGAGCTTTCGGAATACACTCTGACCAACCCTTATCCAAACAGGCATTTTTTTAAAATTTCGTTTTGTTACGTTGTTCCCTGCATCAACTGAATTTTTAGGCCCAAATTCCGCTTTTTTTCGCTCTGTCTTTCCCAGGGGCGGATCTTTTGATTCTGGCACCTCACTCAAAAGGTCATTTTGCACCCTCCGCCCCCCAATGTTTCAAAAATGAAATAAATAGCTACTGAATAAATGAAGAACATCATAGATAGCTAACTGCTCAACAAAACGTGTGGCTTCAATGTCCCCTAAATACAGAATGTTTAATATTTTATGTAATGACTGTTTGTGGCCATCAGAGGGTCTCCAATGTGGTGTGGTTTGAGTGGTGCTGAACACCTCCACTGGGGACCAGCTTCCTCCACCTATCACTATGTACGTTTCCGAACCTTTTGGTCTTAAGCACACATGGAATTGGACTTTCTTCGACTGGGAAATGCTTTCATTGCAGATGGACGACAGTGATCCAGTTTTTGTCTGGCATCAGCGTAGCCTTTTCCCCTTTCAGAGTTATGGGCTGTGAGTGTGAGCGGCTCCTTGTCCCAGGAGTGCTGGTGTGGGGAGGTGAGCCCTAACTGTAAACACACACAGTATGCTGCAGCCATGGCCTAATTACCCGCTCCGTTAATGAAGGTTGGTGTGCTGCTCTTTAAGCTGCTCCTCATCTAGTGTGCTGCTCTTTAAGCTGCTCCTCATCTGGTGTGCTGCTCTTTAAGCTGCTCCTCATCTGGTGTGCTGTTCTTTAAGCTGCTCCTCATCTGGTGTGCTGCTCTTTAAGCTGCTCCTCATCTGGACCACAAGTCATATATCGCTCTGTGAAAGATTCGGCATTCAGTCATCTGCTGTGCCGCCCTCCATGAGCATCGAAACCTTTTCTGCGTTTCTTCACCGATGCACATTTCTCGCTTTTGCATCCATTAAAGTCCTGATGCAAAGTTCCCCAAGAATGACGTAAGGATTGAAAGGCACCGTGAGGTGTGTGGAGTGAAGGATCATTTCAAATCCATTTTCTGGCAAGTGGCAGAGAAATAGGTGCATTGACATTATTGCCATGGCACTGCAGTGGGAGTTATTTTCTTAAGTAGACAATAGCGCCCCCCCCCCAGCTTTACTGAGAATCACTTGCTTCACTGTTGATCATAAAGCTAACCGGGCAATCCAATGTTTCTAAATGAAGTGAAGTCAATTCATGATGCAATGACCTTGACCTTTGACCTTGTGAAGAAAAGGAACAAGCGTTTGACCAATGGCTGTATGGCATGTGGTCCCAGGCACAAGCTGTTTAATTACTCCTGAAACAACTTGGCTCTGTATAACCTCTATAATGTATTTAAATGAATCCAAATATAATGTGGCCCAGCAGAGGTATTTTCCACGAATATTATCCTGCTGTTCTATGACCAGGAGCTATAATCTGTATATTTTACCTCTGCTGGCACTGTGCCTTGGTTATAATGGTATAATTGCGCTGTAATGACATACATACCGGGGGGCTGCATAAAATACCGAATTTGCATTTAATAAATTGGCAGATGCCGTCGGCTAAAGGGGCTTACAAGTTGGCACAAATAATTACTAATTTAAGTACATTAGATAGCAAAGAGCACATGCAGACAAGCCTGTGACCAGTAGGTGTGGTAAGTATTGAGTAAGATCACTGCTAATGTACAGTGCTGTAACTTTATAGCACTGTAGTTTAGTCATTTGGTGTGTGCTGCAGGCCAGTTCTGTGGATGCGGTGCAACAAATCAGAGAGTGACGTTTAAATACTTTTAATTAGCGCAGCGTTTGATGATGTTCTCGTACTTCGTTTAAGAAGAACAAATGCGAAAAATCGCAGTCTACTCAAGGGCAGTAAGTGTAACTCAGGCTTGTTTACCGCTGAAGATCAAACCCCTTATTTTTTTGGGATATATGTTTAGAATGCAATTTTCTGTTCTCAGCATTATGCGTCTGGTCGCATTTCCTCACGTGCCTGGAGTAATTTTAAAAGCATGAAGTTAAAGACCCTTTTCCAAGACACTTAATTTAGCTGTCTCCTAACTTGTTTGCGTTTTATTTTTACTTTTATATCATATTAATAAGATTTTCATGTCTTACCAATATGCTTTCCGTGAAACTTGTTTCTTGATGAGGTAAGATGGCTCCTATTACTGAGATGGTGTGTTCATCTTTATTTTATTTTTTTTTGTATTAATTGTTTAAATTGAATCATTAAGCCAGTGTAATGTCTTTGTGGTCATAAATGGTTTTTAATTTATTTGCTGTATATTTCATATGTTTGTTTTTGTTTGTTTGTTTGTTTTGCTGGATGTGCAGTTTTGTGGGGTCGCTACATCTCCAGTGAGAACCTGCCTGCTTAAATCAATATAAATAATACAAGAACAACAAGAGACTGCAGAGCTTCTGACTGATTGGAATAGTAAAAATATGGTGCTGTTCTTTTTCATCAGCTAGTGTGAATTATATAGTCTTTTAAAATTCTGTGTTCTCTGTTGTTGTTCTGAGTATATTTAGGATGATTTTTTTATTATTATTTCTATGTTTGTGCATGTATGTGTCCTATCTACCCTCAGTGATGTTTTTAACTAATAACATGACATTTTATGTTTGTTTTCCATATACTATGGATGACGGCCTTTTTGAACATGAAATTGTGGGTCCTCTGTTTTTCTTTCTGTGGCTCATATCACAGACCCAAACTCACGCTCATATTCCCTGCTTGCCCCCCCGCAGCTGACCAGAGCCTGTTTGAGAACCCAAAGGCCGCCCTCCCAGCTAAGCTCCAGAGTGGTATCTCCGCGGTCGATCTTCCTGGTGGCCGTCAGGCCCCCAAGTCTGGCCTCAGCCTACGCCGGTCGGTGGGGGCCAAGGTCAGCGACCTGCTGCGACGAAAGGACACTAGCAGCTTCGAAGACGTCGGGGTGATGGAGGTGAACCGGAATGTCGAGACTGACTGGTCGTTCTTCGTGGACAACAATCATGTGACCCCGTCATCCGACAGGTAACTGCAGACAGAGAGCTCCAAATAGGTTTTACTGGCAAAAATCACTAAATGTTGCCAAAACCAGTGTTCCTCAACCCAGTCCTGAGAGACTCCTGAGACGGTAATGAACCAAAATGTGGACCGTCTGCGGCTCCCCGAGGACTGAGTTGAAAAATAATGCCCTAACTCTGTCTCTATTGCCCAAGTAGCTGCAACTCTAACCTATTTAAATACATACAGTACATGTACAGACTGCCTGCTTGACATGATTAAACCTATTCAGTAAATGTTTTTGCCTAATTAAAATGACGTCTTTCTCAATAAGAATGTCTTCCTTATATCACAGTCACATGATACTTGACGGCTTCCCTCGGCTCGACCCCCCCCCCTCTGGAAGGAAGCGCGTGCCTCGCGCCCTGAAGACCACACAGGAGATGATGATTTCCTCCTCCCCCGTGGTGCCCAGCGTGGACGTCTCATCCTTCCCGTCATCCCCTGAGAAGTCGTCCACCGTCACTCCGAAGGAGGTGAAGCAGGCAGATAAGCGCGAGGGAGAGGAGGAGGAGCAGGAGAAGGTGGTGAATTTAGACTGGAGTCCTCCTGACCTCCAGGATGACGTGATCCAAGAAGGGGGTGATTGTTCCCTCTGTTTGGATGGCCAATGCTCAGATTGTGAGACCAAACAAGACAGCAGAGAAGATGTGTCTCAGCTCTCCATCTCCATCCCGGACCTCATCCACAAAGACAATCTAGACGCCAACCTGAAAAACGAAGACCCAGACATTAGCAGCACCTCCAGTCTGTGCATAGAGAAGACAAGCTTCCACTTAAGTGATCTTGAGGATGACCTCCACGAGAACAGCGTAGAAGATGCTGCAGAGGGACTAAGGTCTTCCAGGGTGGGAATTGATGAACCCCATCCAGATCTTCTGTCCTTTGAGTACTAAAGCTCAAAGTCTCTTCTGACAATCCACAGCATTCCTGACTCTTCCATGGGAGTCACCTGATGACTAATGACGACTTGGGTTGGATTAAACAAGATCATTCTGCATGGATGTCAAATTCTCCCCAAGCTGCCATAACCTGGCTGTTAACGCATCTTGTGCTGAAACACCAAAGATATTGTGAATTTAGTGTTAACATGTTACTCTGAGATATTTCATACATGTGCACCAAAGACAAAGTGTTTCTATTACTCAGACCAAAGTATATATTGGGTAACATACATTATTATATATGATGAGCATTACTGTAGCTATCGGCCTCTCTTCTCTGGGGGGGAGGGGCTATACACTACTAGGAGCTACAGTATACACCTTCTCAGGACCTCTCCAGTTCACTTCTGGATCGTTTTGCTTGAACGCGTTGTTTTCGTGACCCATAGAGAAGCTTCCCAGGTCCAATGGATTGTTTGTGGAACGTTGCCGTCACCTGCTGTAGGTAGATTGTAATCATTTGGGTTTAGTCGGTGTCCCGCTGTGAAAGGAGTTACCTCAGTAGATGCCCGTGGCTTTTAAAAACTGTGGTGAAAGAGGAATGAAGCAAGAATTTTGTGTTTTATCTGCCCTGGGACATTTGCATTTTTTTATGTCTGTGTTATGCTGGTTTGCCTTCACACTTGGCAGATGTTGGGTATGAAACAGTATCACCCGGAATATTCCGCTCGTTTCTCCTGCATTCCACAGTCTCTTATCAGCAAACCGCGAATGGGACGTTTCCTTAAAGCCGGTGTTGTGACAGGGGCTGCTAGACTTGTTCATTTATTTACGAAATGTAATAGACTAAGACTGAATACTGTTGAAACCGATGATGAAGCCATCCGGGGGGGGGCATAGGGAATAGATGCCTTCAGTATCTTTTATCAGCATGTTGCAAGGATATTTCTCTCACTTGGTTTGTGCTCTTTAAAAACTGGCAGGAGTAATATAAATGTTTTATGTGCTCTGTCTTTTAAGTAAGGAAAACAGAAGATGGAGGGATGAAAAGTGGATAAGTAGGGATGAAATAGCTAGAGAGAATACTTGTGAACGTGGAAATACTAAAGCAGTGATTTTACTAAAGGAATGTGAACACATTCGAATTGAAGCAAATGGTGGATTTCACTGTACACACTTAGGATCGCACCGTGACAGTGTGGTGGACAAACGGAATGGAAGATGGGTGACTAGACGTTAGACTCTTAGCATTAATGCATGATGACTTGATAGGAGCTGTGGAGTTTGTTCAAAGTGGCCTGTAAATTTCTAAAGCTAACAGGTCAAATGAGGCTTTAGGAGAAAACAGTGGTTCTTGCCTGTGATTGGATATATGTGTAGACTACGATGACATTGACCACGATGGTGTTTCTCAATAGCAAGAACGCAAAGATCGTACCTGTGGTCTTGGCAAGATCGGTCTTTCTAACTTGCCTCCCAAGGACGATGTTGGGGAGCAATGAATCATGGGATTGGTCTCGTTTGGCAAGGATGCGACCGATGCTATCTGTGATATTTGGGACGGGGCAAGAACAACATCTGGGGATTTTGATTGTCTTCTGTACTTCTGTTCTTGAGTATTGGAACTGGTCTTCGGCAAAAAAAGATGATATAAAATGGGTACATGAGAACACAAGTATGGTCAAGTACGCATATTGAGAAACATCCCATGTCTACTGAAATGTCAGGTTCACCGTGATGCAGCATAATGTGGGAGCTTCAGTCCTCTGCTGAGGTACTGGGGCCTTGGTAGCTGCTCACTGCGTTTGTGTCAAACTTGAGGGTTCGGGAGGAGTGCGAGAAGGAGTTAAGAATGTAACCTATGGTGCGCTTCACTAGTGAGCTGTTAATCTCAGACTGTCACTGCTGGTGTTACAATTTATGTGACTTATGATGATTTGTAGCTATTTGAAATTTAAATGGGGTATATATCAATATAGTAGTATTTAACAAATCACTTCTATATATTTTACTTTAATTTTTATTTTTTCGTTTCAAGGAATCGTATAAGTGCTGTTACTATAACTATGCTGTTATTATAACTATTTTTATTCTTGTACAATGCTGCATGCTACCAAATTTAACATTTTATATCCCTTTCATCTGCGGAACAGGTGAACAAATATCTTTGTGAAAAAATAGAATCCAGTTTTTTTTTTTAAAGGAGTATTTAGGAAATATTAAGAATTTTTATAGCAGTTTTATACATAAGTGTTTGAATATGTAAATTAGAATTGGTTCTTTTATGAAATGACACCATTGATGATTATGTTAAGAATATTATTAAGAATTAAATTAAATAATTGGTTAAATGTCTTGTTTAATATTACGTTTTATTGAATACTTGCGTACAGTATGGCTGCTAAAGATGTTGGGCTCCATGAAAGGAGCGCTGCCACTAATGACCCGTTTTACCGGTTGGTTGATTAATCTAAATGAATATTTTTCCTCCAGAAAATCAAATTGACCATTTAAGTTCATTTTATTTTGACATCAAAATACAAACTGTATGTCATTGCAAGGCTTTAGATAACGGACGGCAGCTTTTCAGCGCTAAACGGGCGTTACTTACGCCCACAATGTGACAAGCAAATTAGTAATGCACCTAAAATATTAATGAGATTGTGATGTCCAAAAGTTTTATTTCAGTTCACAAATGATTTCTTTTTAAATTAGTGTCCATTTTCATTTGTTTTCCTATATGATAATGACACTGGTCCCAACAAGCCCAATGCACACGAACGAACACACCGGCAGATTCTAACCTAAACATTTATTTCATGGAAATTCTAAGGTAGCAGGCAGACAACTTCATGGCTGTAATAATGAGTTTATTTAGCTGCTACAAGGACAAAAGATACTTAAAAAGCTCTCAAAACTAATGGCAATTTTAATGAACATGAATAGAGAGAAAACACGGTGTTGCTTATTCTGACAGTCCAGAATATCGCCTGTATGTCGATTTATTCATGTACAGCGACTACGTCGATTGATTGCTGTATCCCTACATGAAAGCTTATCATATTGGGCCCCCAATCCGAATACCTTCCGAATTTTTTAGGGCCCCCGTCACTTATTATTTGCAATATAAGAAATACATTATCGTTGCACCACGATTGACCAGATACTGCTACCAGAGAGATATGTTTACCGCTTAAAATAAATGGAGTAATATGTACAATAAGGCTTCATCAACTAAAATGATGATAATATTGATACTTTGTACACACAAATACTCATTTATTGCTTAATTGTAGGACTCATTGTCAATCCTCCCAATTATATCTCAACTTTGTATATTTGTACACGATAAGCCAAATATTTGTGGATGTTGCAGCTGCTTAAAAATAAAGTTGAATCTATTATCAGTTAATATTTTTTACATTTTTATTTTATAGCATTACTATTCGTTTTTAATGCAGCACGGCAATTCATTTGATATCCATGATAATTACAAATTTTTTATAACTTTAATAACTTCCATCCCAAGGAAAAGCTAAATTGTAAGACTGGGATTTGTTTTTGCTGTCGTTTCACTGCAAATTTAGTGTTAAACATCAAAATATGTCACCTTGATTATTTAGACCTCTAAAGGAAAGTTGTCGTGGAAATACTCTTTCAAAGTAATTTCAGTTGTTCATGGTTACATTACCAGATAAGCACTACCTATCTGCAAAGTAAATTGATGGACAGGTCTATTATAGATACTGCATATGTTTTTAAATCCTATCCAGGATTTAAGACTTCTCAGTGCATGTGTAAAAGCAGCAGGACTGATTAAACAACTTGATAGTCCTAATATTTACTTGTGTCTGTGTTTTGTGTGAAACGTTCTCCTCTCTCCGCAGACAGGCAGTTGTAGTTTGACCCATGTGCAGAGATATCCGGCTTGAGCGAGGCAGCAGGCACTGGGGTGAATCAGACCGAATCTCTTACATTTCGTGCCTGCAGACGGAAGTCCTTGAGGCTGCTGTTTGCCAAGCCGGTAGGTGTAGCTGAGGTCTGAACGTGTTGGATAGCAGGATGACTAAGCCTGCAGGGCCAGGGATGCAAAAATTCTAAAACTTACAATGGGCACAGAGGAAGGTAAAAAGCAAAAATCTTTGTCGGGTTGAAAATACCAGCAGGCCAAAGCACCTATTCAGCCTGTACAAGTCTAAATCATCTCATGAGACTAAGGATCATTGATCATGATGGTCAATTATAATTCTACCGAACACTGTGTGTCTGATGTACTGTAGAATCTGACATATTTGACCAGCAGGTGGCGTGGTAGTTAAGGGCATATATGATCTTAACTGTTGTCAGGATACACAGGATGAGTACCTCACTGTGGTGTTATCTTTGAAGTTATGTAAACTGAAATTTCTGGAAAGGATAGACCAAGGCCCAAAATGTACATAATCTTAGGTGACTCTGTCCCTTCTGGCAATCTGCCAGAACCTGTCATGCAGGCTTGGCACATTTGTAAATGCAGACTGGCTTCGCCTCAACAGTCTCAAAAAACATACTTTAAGCTCTGGCCTCTTATCAGAGCCCAAAAATACAAAGATCATTCTCACTTGCTCTGTGACAGAATCTGCAAGAAACTCATTTTGTTTGGTATTTGATATTTTTTCCTCTGCCACAGCTTTTTGGCTTTGAGTACGAGTGTAGTGCTGTCTGGCTTATTACCAAGTTTCTTCTAAGTTTCAAAGTGGAATTATTGCGTGATCAGACAATTAATCATAGGTGGAAAGTTCAGGTCCAGGAAGTACAATTCCAGACCAAGATTTTGTTTCAACCAACCAGTTGAGTTACTCTATGAATGTGACCTTTTGTACTGAACTGGTTAGTTGAAACAAAATCTTGGTCTGGATTTGTATTGTACTTTCTGAAGCTGAACTTTCCACCTCTCAAGTTAGTTTCACACATCTGGGTTTGCGCACACAGAGAACTTGACAAGTCAGGCAAACTAGGCTGTCAGTGCCTTATTGACCCAAATCAACTTTCAGGAGATTTCAGCTGCCCCAGTCTTCCTGCTCAGTACTCAAGTGCAGAATCTCATCCTTAACTAAGTTCTCATCTACAAGACATCAGAAGGCCATCCTTATAAAACTGCAAGATTTATGAGCATGAAGTACAGATTTTTTTTTTAATTCTAATCCTTTGATAAAAAGCTTTCATTCAAAGCACTAAAAAGACATACATATGCTTAATTGTGTTCTTAAAAGATAAGCCAGGGTGAAGTAAATTGAAATTCATGATTTATTAATCATTCCAAGAAGATGGGAGTCCATTATTCGGTAGGTACCATTTAAATGAGAATCAATTATGGAAGAAGAGGAAAGATTGAGCCGTTCATCACTTTTTACTGAATACATTTATTGAAAGAGGATTGGGAAAGTTTCTCAGAATATGTTTTTGTTTAAAACCACTTACATATGACTGCACTTGGATAAAGTTGGATGAATACCTAGCACTAACAAAAGTGGCCAGGGGTGAATTACTGAAGTTAAAATCCTAGGGCGTGTTCTGGGGAGCCTGTGTAAGTGGTAGGAGTGTGACGAAGGGCTGCAGATTGCTGTTCGCTGCAACCACTCAGCCGCGTTATTACGGCGTTTGCCGTCTCTTTGGTTCCAGTTACGGCAGGAATGCTTAGTTTCAACAGGCTAACTTTGGATATTGGTGAGCTGTTAAGAGAAAATGATGGGAATGACAAGTACTGCATAATCATTCCTGAGTATTCTTGTAAGCACGTTCCTGTGTTTACTTACGATACACAACCGAAAGTTGGCTTAGATCTTATTACTCAATTCAGTGAATCATTGGCCAGGTATGCAAACAGCCAGAGCTCACCTACCTTTCCTGTGTCCAGCCCTCAGTCTTACCTGCTTTGGCGTCTACTAATGTTCCCGGATCTCCTCCAAGGTTACAACCTTAAGGGGGAGGAATGTATGTGATGTGTTTCTGTAATGGCGATTACAAATACTTTCAGATAAAGGAAAGCGTCAATATTCATTCAGCATCCATATATTTCTAATGTGTCGTACCTATTCCACACTGTACAAACGTAGTTATGCGAAAAGCAGAGACAATGACAATAACCTTACATTAAGCTTTATAATTAATGCACTCAAATATAAGCACGTTATCTGTTGTCAGCTTTGCTAAATAATTTATAGCGGAACAAGGGCGAAATTAAAATAATGATTGTTTGTATTTTTCAATAGTCCACTATTTTGCTGAAAACACAGCTTATAAATAAAATACATTATGAATAATTTATCAGTTACAAACCTAGCAACATATATGAATGCAATTATAGGAATATTCTACTTAAAAAGCTACTACCCTTCCCCATAATGACTAACACAGACTCTTAATTCCCACCGCCACCAAAGGGAAACGTGGATTCTTGTCGCCCTCTTGTGGAATAACACTGCATTACTTAGTAATTGCATTTCGACTCTCAAATTGAAAGCCTCTCATCTGGCCGCCGATAAATAACGTATGAGTCATTGTGCATGTAAGACACATCAGCATGGGTCATTTTTAATGCATCACATTATATTTTATGCAAGCCATACGTGCCTGTTATCTATGGGGAAACCACTCTAATATGTTTTAAAGAGCTTCTAGATTAGCTTTTTACAAAGGCCAAAAAACACTGAATAGAGTCCCCGGTGTCACAGTGGAAATAGAAGGGCTTTCTTTTTTCACATCTTCATTTTAAATAGTACAATTTTTCATTAATTTTCCTGTTGTTTGTACCATTAACGATTCAAAATTTTACAGCACACACAATCTATTTTTTATATGCTACACAATGTATATTTAATGAAAATCTTGCCTGCTAGCATGGTGAGTGGCCTCATGCCTTTGTCTAGTGGTGTAATTGGGCCGTAATTTTAAATCCCAGCCCTGTTCTGTGTGTGAGTAAACCTGTCTGCTTCAAGCTGACCTGTGTATCTTATACTGAATAACGGAATTTATATTAAAATGAAGTGTTTGGTGTCCCAGCAGTGAAATCTTTGTGTGGAGTTTGCATGTTCTTCCTTTGTACATGTTTTCTCCAGGTCCCCTGTTTCTGATTTGTCTGTCAGCAGTGATTCTGTATTGTGGCCTGCAACACATTGGCATCACCGCTAGGGGGCACTCTCGCCATGTGCAGTTTGGTGTCTGGAGTAGATCCCAAGGCCCAGGTCAATCTCCAAGACCCTGTACTGGAAGCAGTGGGAAGATGACTAGATAGGATGTCTTGCCTGACGGATATTGTCATAAGAAATTGTGATTTACAGAGATAAAGATGATGATACATTGGCAGGGGCATAAGAGGGGCATAGACACTCTGGAAGTCTCCAAATCTAATGTCGGGGGCCAGGTCTACTATGGGATCACTCCCCCATACAAAATCCACCGGAGGGGACGAGCAAATGCACTATATGGACAAAGTATTGGGACACACTTCTAAATCACTGAATTCAGGCTTTTTATCCAGACCCATTGCTTTAGGTGTAAAAAAAAAAATCAAGCACCTTGGCATGCAGTCAGGTTTACAGACATTAGTGAAAGACTGGGTCGTACTGAAGAGCTCAGTGAATTCCAGCACGGTACCATCATAGGATGCCGCCTTTGCAATATGTCAGTTCTTGAAATTTCGTCCCTGTTAGATATTCCGTGGTCAACTGTAAGTGGTGTTATTGCAGAGTGGAAGCATTTAGGAACAACAGAGACTCAACCACAAAGTGTCAGACCACGTAAATAACACAGCAGGATAACCGAGTCCTGAGGCACAGTGTGTAAAAGTCACCAATGCTCTGTTCCAAACTTCCTCTGGCATTAACTCCAGCACAAAAACTGTGCCCCGGGATCGTCATGGAATGGGCTTCCATGGCCGAGCAGATGCATGCAAGCCTCACATCACCAACTGCAATGCCAAGCTCCACACAGAGGGGTGTAAAGCACGCCGCCACTGGACTCTGGAGCAGTGGAAACGTGTTCTGTGGAGTGACGAATCACGCTTCTGTCTGGCAGTCTGACGGATGAGTCTGGGTTTGGCGGATGCCAGGAGAACGTTACCCGCCTGACTGCATTGTGCCAACTGTAAAGTTTGGTGGAGGAGGGATAATGGTGTGGGGGTGTTTTTCAGAGGGTGGGCTGGGCCCCTTAGTTCCAGTGAAGGGAACTCTTAATGCTTCAGCATACCAAGACATTTTGGACAGTTCTATGCTTCTAACTTCTAACTGTGGGAACAGTTTGGGGAAGGACCTTGGCTGTTCCAGCATGACTGTGCCCCAGTGCCCAAAGCAAGGTCCATACAGACATGGTTGGGTGAGTTTGGTGTGGAAGAACTTGACTGGCCCACACAGAACCCTGACCTCAATCCCATCAGACACCTTTAGGATGAATTACAACGGAGATCACGAGCCAGGCCTTCACATCCAACATCAGTGCCTGACCTCGCCAATGCTCTTCTGGATGAATGGGCAAAGGATCCCATAGACACTCCAAAACCTTAAGCTTCCCCAGAAGAGTGGCAGCTGTTATAGCTGCAGGGGAGGGGGGGGGGCACATTAATGCCTGTGGATTTAGAATGGGACGTCATGAAAGTTCTTGTGGGTGTAATGGCCAGATGTCCCAATACTTTTGTCTTAACTTCAAACCAGCAGTAGTGCATCTAACACACATCCAAATAGCTCTCCATCCTGAAGCAGGCAGGTATGTTAAGGTAAATATGTTGCCTTGCCTTGTACAGTAGTTTTAAATGGGGGGGGGGGGTTATAGACACATATTTCTGGGATTAGACCACACCGTGCATCAGTATCATATGTCTGAAAGAATATTGTTTTAAAGGGCAAAAGACATTTTTCCTGCGATAACCTCTATACTTAGCAAATCCATTAAGCACTATTTTCTATTATAAAAGGCAACAAACTCATCAGAGATACTTGTATAGCCTGTTATGCTTATCTACAGGCACTAAAACCCGTCTGTTTATCTACTCTAAGTTCAAAGTAGAATTTACATAATTATGACTATAAAAACGAGTAGAATAAAAAAAAAATCCGTGAACTTTAGTATAGACACCTCCCTTGAGCGAAATATACAATCTAGCAGATCATTATTGTCATCTGTGTGTGGGTGACACCTGTTTATTACAGAATTTTCTATATCACACAGGAAAAGCCAGGTATTCTGGTTTCACTTGTGACTCACGGCGGTTTGCGTGCTTTGAAGTTTTGCTGCGGCTTTAGAGCATGTGTTCTTCATATAGGACATAGTACTGGTTAAAAATAAACGACTACAACTACAAGGTTTGCTTAAAGACAGATTTATCAAATGAGCATTCAAAATTGGAGATTATTGATAGTCAACGGTGCATATTGGTTTCGTTCTTCCTATACAGACAGATTCCGCCTTAAGTCACTTAAAACACGTTTCAGTGTTTCGCTCGTTCACAGCTGCCCAGATACACAAATACATAAGCAGACGTGCCCGCGTACCGTCTTTCTAATCCGGTGCCGTGCAGTTTCATTTGTGATCCTTTGATTTGTGATCCCGTTCGCAGTGAAAGGGCTGCGGCACGATTACAGGGCGTTTCCGTTTGACGGCGGTGCCACGTCAGGTGCCGGATCGCGGCTCCGGGGCGTGGAGGCGAGGCGAGCGCCTCAGTCGGCCACGGTGAGAGCGCTAGGACGCGTCTCAAGGTATGTCAGCGCCTACGCTTAGACTCCTGCTCTCTATCATTATTATTACATTTCACTATTACTGCTACAGGAGAATACCACCGTTCTATTAGTCTGAGAAATCTATCAGGACTGCTGTTGGATTTTATTAAAGCGCTTGCTCTTCATTTAGATGTCCAGAATACTCTACAGCCGTAGGCATCGCGTTGACTCCGTTCCCGGCTGTCGGACAGTACCGTTTTTTACAGACATTTTCCACTTCGAAACACTCTGGCGGGGGTGTATTGAGTTCTTAAGCAAGTTTCCAAGAGTGCAGCATACATGCTTTTAGAGGGAAACCTGTCTAATGTAGTAATAATTATAATAATATTAATAATAATAATAATTATTATTATTATTATTATTATTATTGTTCTTGTTGTTGTTTATCCTCACTTTGGTTCCAATTACTGCAAAAATGCTTCGAACATCCTTGGAAACGTGTTTTGACACTGGTGACATTAGAGATGACGATTGTTCATTCACGCATTTACTCACGTGTTTGCGTAAAGGCGCTTGTTTACCATGACTTAGTTCAGTGATGCAGTAACGTGTTCAAAATACTGGAATCATTGCGCAGGTATGTATTGCATTCAAAGGAACTTGCTATATTAATATGTTACGGAATAATTGATGCTGTTGCAACATTCATGCACACATAACACTCACACATAAAACAGACCTTAAACTATACAATAAAACAAAGATTCAGTTAAGCACACACAGGACAGAAGAATACAAAGTAGGATTATGTTTTACAAAGAAAATATTTAATGCAAATGATGAAGTGCACAGGAAAGCCAAAAGCAACACATGTGCAATAGAAATTCATACATAACCTGTTAATCCAGTTGTGCTCTGTTTAACCAGGGACTCAGGTGTGAGAGCTGACAGAAGCGGAATCACTTCATCATGGATGCATGTATGGAGGCTACGCGTTTGGAAGAGGCTGGTCAGTCCCACCTGCTGCGGTTCTGGGCCGAGCTGAGTGCGGAGGAACGTGTGGAGATGACCCAGGACCTGAGGAGCATGGACTTCCAGGAGATCAACGGCTTCTTCCAGCGCGCCATGAAAGAGTCAGGGCGAGAAAAGCAGGAGAAGGTGGACAGCAGGATGGAGCCAGTACCCAGAGACATGCTGGGCAGTGTGGTATCTGACCGAGAGCTGCTCAAGGCGTGGGAGAAGGAAGGTTGGTCTTTTTAAGATCCAGACTCAGAATCCTTTTATTTGCCAAGTATGAAAAATACAAGGAATTTGTTTTGATGCAGGTGGTGTCATAAGGTGTACAATTAAAAATGCAATTAAAAATGCAATTCATGGGCCCCCAACTCCCCCTCCCCTGGCATGGTAACATTTATTACCTTTATTTTACTGTGAAGTTTTAATTTATAATATTAGCAAAGAGAATATCATTTTAAAATGACTTTTTTCACTTTTGTGAAGAACAGAATACACAAATGAAGCAGATTTGTCGTTGCAGTGTGCTATGTAATTAGCTGTCTCTCGGGGGCCCCCTCCCAGTTCGGGGCCCCCTCCCAGCCATCGCCTGCCCTGCCTGTCCTGCCCCTTGGCCTCTGATGTTGTCACAGGAGCACTGCCCTCTCTGATTCTGTTCATGCCCTGCGCTCACATTGTGTAGTATATTCACTCACAGCGACCATTTTGCAGTCTGCCTGAGAAAGTGTCAGAGTCACTTTTTTCTTGACATTTACAGGTATGGCCTTGCGTTTCTGCACTTGGGTATGATTGGGTGAAACTCTGAAGTGTTACGTTCCGTTCGGTGATTCACCAGGCTTGGACTTTGTCATGGGCGGCATCAATAAAGAGCTTTTTATTGTGACATCCAAAGGATTATCAGACATTCCTCTGAAGGCGTTCACTGATCTCTTTCTGGAGTTTTATAATAAACAGACAATAATAAAATTCAGTATCCCAACATACATCATCCCCAGCCCTTCAGTGATAATAAGGAACTGAAAACTTACATTTTGTAATCATGTGAGTGATTTCATCGGAAGAGATTATATCCTTTTCTCTTACTTGTATGAAGAAATGGAAGCGTGTTATTTCTGAATTATTTGGCAATATTGTTAATAGCATTTTAACACAAAGGCCAACAAGGAGATGAAATCATGGACATTTTTGAGTACGTTATAAAGAGGCATCATTTGGGGACCTTTATTTTATTTCTGTTTTGGAGGGAAGTTTCAGCCAAACCGTATAACAGATAATAAAATCCTCTACTACATTTCTGACATTGTAACCATGAATTTTTCTGCCCAGTTGTTTCTTTTTTGTTTGGTGAATTCAAGTAACAATTCAGTGAAACCATACCGAAATAGCAGTGAAACCTTACTGAAATAGCAGTGAAACCTTACTGAAATGGCAGTGAGATCTTACTGAAATGGCAGTGAAATCTTACTGAAATAGCAGTGAAACCTTACTGAAATGGCAGTGAAACCTTACTGAAATGGCAGTGAGACCTTACTGAAATGGCAGTGAAATCTTACTGAAATAGCAGTGAAACCTTACTGAAATGGCAGTGAAACCTTACTGAAATAGCAGTGAAACCTTACTGAAATGGCAGTGAAATCTTACTAAAATAGCAGTGAAACCTTACTGAAATGGCAGTGAAACCTTACTGAAATGGCAGTGGCGTTGCAGGCACCTGAAGGGACCCGGAGCATAGCTCAGAGGTCAGAAGAGGAGGGGGTTGCCGCTTCTAAACTGCAGGAATACGGCACGCCACCCTACAAGATTTGCCAGTTTTTAAAACAGGACAGGTGGCAGTTTAGGGGTGGAAATTATAATATTAGCAAGTTGAGGGGCTAAATGATTTATGTAACTTGCGTCAGACTTTTTCACATGATACATTTACTGTTTTTTTTTAGCATTAGCATAGAAAATTACCACTAGCAAAGTCACCTAGCTAGCCAGCCAGCATTCTTAGGCTAAAACAAGTGGTGAAACTTCAGAAATTCTTGCTACTGGCCAAATGGACTAGTTCAGAATTTTTTTTTTTAAAAATCACTATAAATGTATTGTTTTGTTCTTTGATAACAGCTTATGTTTCACTAGGCCACAATATATATTTTTAAACATAAAGAGCAACCAAAGGCCATCACATCTTACAATAATAAATTACTGTGTAACGTTATTTACAGCACATCATTTATTAATTTCCATTAACCGTTTACTCATTCAAAGTACCCCATTGTAAAATGGTTGGCTGATAGCCAGTTCATACCAGCTATCCAAAAATTCTCTTCCTCACATGTTTGTGTATTTTTAAGTCTATTAACACACTTCAGTGATGCATTAAATCTACTTTCAGTTCCTTTTCAATGTAGCCTCCCAACATCTCTGCTAATTCATCGCTCTAGAAAATGGAAGATTAGGGTTGTGGGATGATAATTTAATCACGATCATGATGAATCACACACTTTGGGGATAAGTGGAAATTAGTGGGAGAACATTTTAAAATGAATTTGAGGAAGCACTTCTTTACACAACGTGTAGTTAGAGTATGGAATAGTCTTCCTGCTAGTGTAGCGGAAGCTAAAACCATGGGTTCATTTAAATCAGAGCTAGATAAGATTTTAACAACTCTGAGCTATTAGAGGCTTGATGGGCCGAATGGCCTCCTCTCATTTGTAGATTTCTTATGTTCTTATGTTCTAATATGAGGTTCTGGTCTTTAGCAGTTAGCAGTTAGCAGTTATTGTTTTATTTCTCCTTTCAGGACTTCTGCATATTTCCCAAAGCAAAGTTGCTGTTCTTCTGCTGGCTGGAGGGCAGGGCACCCGACTGGGGGTCTCCTACCCAAAAGGAATGTATGACATCAGCCTGCCGTCCCACAAAACCCTCTTTCAGATCCAGGCGGAGCGCATCCTCAGGCTTCAGCAACTTGCAGAGCAGGAACATAAGTCAAGGTGCAGCATACCATGGTAAGACTGCCTTCATGTCCGTCTACACGGAGACGAGAGGGTCAGGCATGCAGGGCGTGACACCATGTGCCATCATTTGAAGAAAAAATATATGTTAGCAGTGATCTAAAGAGCACCCAGACAATTAGATTATTGAGCCAATTAATTTGGCTGGGAGTATGTTACACAAACCAGGATCTTCCAGGAAGTACTTGAGCAGTGTTTCCCATCCCGGTCCACATTTTTGCTCCCTCCCGTCTCCCTGTCAGATAGTCCACATTTTTGCTCCCTCCTGTATTGACAATTCTTTTCAAACATCACTAGATAAGCATATTCCCCTGTATGTAGGGGAGGCCATCACATCTTACCATAATAAATTACCATGTAACGTTATTTATCTAATTAAACAAAAATATAAGCAAAAACATGGACTGTCTGTGGGACCTGAGGACTGGGTTGGGAAACACTGCCCTCATCCACGCTAATTCTCCCTAGTGGTGTCAACTCAGGCTGTATTTTTGGTACAGAAACTAAAGATAAAGAGACAGCCCACATTTTTGCTCCCTCCCAGCTTCCCGTAGCAAAAACATGGACTGTCAGGGGATCTTCAAGGACCAGGTTCAGAAACACTAATATAGAGAAATCAGAAGGCAAAGGGCAAGGATACAGTTTCCATTATACCTCTCTGCCTTCGCAGGCTGCCTTGCGTTGCCGCGGCATCTTTCCAGCTGTTCTAATTGTTGTTTTTAGGGATGGATTTTATGCACATCTGCATTTAACAGTTTAATTTAAAAGCTCTACAGTGAATGTAGCCTTGAGTTTGGTATGTCACATAAAGTCATATCAATGATGATATAGTTTCATGTTTAATATGTTCCAGACCATAAGCATTTTATAGAGGAAAACAGTCAGATTATTTAGTATTTGTGTTTTTTTGGTGGGGGGCGGGGGTTCTGGTCATATTGGGCCCCTCTGTGTTAATACCGGGAACTGGGAGGGAGTAAAAACATGGACTGGCTGTGGGTTCCTGAGGACCGGATCAGGAAACACTGTATTAGACCTTTGCTCCATGCTGTTCTTGGCAGACTGTAACATTTAGTTTAGGTCAAGTTAATAAAATATCACTGAGAAATTCCCAGCATCCACTTCCTTATGGTAGCTTTGACTGACTTCCTGGGAGACTTTAGGCTAGAAAAAACACTTAAAAAAAAAAAAAGAAATGTAAAAATATGTGCAATTAAACACAAAGTATTGCAGCAAGTCTTTCCCTTATGGAAATTGTCCACTTACGGATATATTTGTGCATATTTGCAAACATTAGCTGTGGGAGGAAAGCAAAAATATATCCTATAAATTGCACATCTCTTAGGTACATAATGACCAGCGGCCGAACAATGGAGTCCACCAGAGAATTTTTTTCCCAGCACAATTATTTTGGCTTGAACAAGGAAAATGTAGTCTTTTTTCAACAAGGAATGCTTCCAGCCATGGACTGCAATGGGAAGATCATTCTGGAAGGGAAAGGCAAAATTTGTATGGCGCCAGGTAACTTCACATTGCCGGGTTACACTGAATTGTGCACGTGTTTCCGTCTCAGGTTCTGCATGGATAAATGTGTTGCCCCTTTGCATTGTATTAGATGGGAATGGAGGGCTGTACAAAGCACTCGGTGCAGAGAAGATTATCGATGACATGGAGCAACGAGGGATTGGTTACATCCATGTTTACTGTGTGGACAACGTCCTGGTGAAGGTGGCAGATCCCACCTTCATTGGGTTCTGTGTACAAAAAGGAGCGGACTGCGGAGCTAAGGTCAGTCTGGAAGGGAAGATACCATTCAAAGTGTCACATGACATTCACCTTACACTGACAGTTACAATGGGCTTACTAAAGTCCTACACATTTTGAGTAGGATTTTAACGATTGAGAAGACATTCAAAAGGACATCCAGTCATAAATATCCATATCCTGAGTAGTGTGCTATTTAATAATGAAATACTTGAGGCAATGCAAATGAAGTTTCAGCAAATTAAGTAGTCGCGATGCTTAATGAAGCTGCAGTTCTTCAATTGAACACTAGAAGGTGTTGTTGGTTCTTGAAAGGCTACGAAATTTTGTACAAAATGTGGAGCCGCTAAAATGTAATTAAAGATTAGTTAAGTTATGTGATAAACTTTTGGTTCCTACCTGATTAGGAAGATTTTGTGAAACATCAGTATGTTTAGCTACGTTACAATATTTAACTATTGGTTTTTAAAAAGAACATAAATCCCAAAGTTATAGACCTCTGTCTAACCCTTACCAAGATCAACAGTTACCTGGTTTAAATATGTAACTTATTTGCAGTTTTTCCTACATAAACAGTTGTGATTCTCCGCTCCACCCCAGTATTTCCTACTGTCACGTGTGCCTGGGCACCATGATAGTCTCCAGCAGACTTGCTTCAGGGTTTCTTGCATCGCATAGACTCCGCTAATCTGTTCTCTGTTCTATTCTATAAGTTCGTCAGAGCTTAATTACTTTGGGTGAAATGCTTCGTTCAGATTCACCCTACAAACAGCCGCATCTACCACACATTCACAGACGCTTGACAGCCAGGATTTCATCGTTTGCGGGCTGTGCACGTCTTTAAATCTCATCCTGCAGTCTTCAGTGGCGGCTGTATACTACAGTGTAATATTTTTAATCTGTACTATGATACGTATGAGTTTAAGGACTGTAAACACAGGGTCAGTTTCGATTAAATGAATAAGGTCGGTGTGATTAGATAGGTGGATGAGGGTGGGGGCCTCACTGCCACGGAGCTGAAGACCACACTGCTGTTAAAGCAGCTTTTTACAGGCTGCCCTTCCTCCAGCCAAACCGCATGACCAAGGTGTAAATTCACTGCTTGCTGAGGGCAGAGGCTTCCGGCCCATGAATCGGTCCACCTACAAAGACTGCCATATACGATCCAGTGCCAGGAGTTATAAAAAGAACAAAAGAACAATTGTGGTCTTTTAATGTGGCTGCTAATGGGAAAAATGGGGAGGGAGTAGGGGGTGAGGCGGATCCCCAGCAGCACGTGGTATGAGGCTGTGTCGACCCTTTTGATTGGGTGCGAGGCTGTGTCGACCCTTTTGATTGGGCCCCACTTGAGGCCCGCTGCTGGGGCCTTCATGTCATGGGTCGCTATCCTGCTTACTGCTGTATGTGGCTCAGTGGGTTTGGAGGCTGTTCTTCTGATTGGAAGGTTGTTGGTTCAAATCCCGGCATTGGAAGACTGATTTTTGCTGTTGGGCCCTTGAACCCAGGGATTCTCAACCTGTCCATACATGGTCAGACGTGTCCATGGCATGATATTTTAACTGAGGTTGCAAAAAACACTCTGTAGGCTACATTTTGAAATAGCAGGTCAGTCCACCA